CATCGCGATTGCGCGAGCCCCTACCAGAAATTCGTTGCGCCGCCCTTGGGGGCAAAAAACGGTGAAAGCTAACGTACGAAATCAGAGGGCAGCACCAGCACACGGTGCGATCGCGCGACCCTGCCCGTGAGCAATCTCCCAACTCATCTCTGCCTTATATCTAAATGTCGGGACATTGCTCACGGGCTGGTTCACGCGATCGCGTTCTGTGCTGCCCTCGGTGGGTAATGTGGGCGGCTCGTGCACTTGTTACCTGAGACCATATATATCTGGACCTCGCTTTGGACCTCCCACTCCCAGATTTTCAGTAAGCAGGATGGCTTCAACTGTGTGGGTGAGTCGTCGGGACGCTTGGTACATTCGTTTACTCCTTCCACTGCAAGGCAGTCTACATAAATATATGGGCTAAAATCTGATTGGTTCCGAGTGCCGCCGGCACACGTGGATCATGTGGTGTTCGAGTTTACCCCACCCACTGCTATGCGAAGTCTAGATATGTATGGTCTAAGCTTGCCACCTGATTCCCCCCAGTGGCGGCCCAACTCAGAGGTCCTTCTCATCTCTGCTCCCAACTCATCTCTGAGTTGGGCCGCCACTGTGGGGTACCAGGTAGCAAATGGTCGATCGCGCTGTTTCGCCCGTGAGCAATCTCCGAAGTCATCTCTGTGATAACAAACGCTCTTTAACCTCTATTAACATCTCTTCCCAACGAGTCCAGCAAGCTCTGCGGCGATGAACTGCCCATGATGCCTTGAAAAAAAAAAATGGGTCCTGTTGCGATCCACCTAAAACCTGGAAAGGTGTACAAAAGAACAGGCAAAACAGAACATGAGAAAAGATCCAGGAAGCCGGACATTAGACAGCGAATAAGTTACTAAAAGTTAAGAATACCAAGAAACTCGTAGCGTTGAGCGAGGCGAGATGCTACAGAGTTATATACAGTAAGGATCAGGATGTAAGGAGTGGGGGAAATGAAAATATAATTTCTTCATTGCTACAGATAAAGAAATAAATTTTCGATCAACTCAAGAAATCCAGCAAAAAATCAGGATTTTTTTTTAATTTACCCGACTCTGATTGCTGCTATGTACGTAAAGATATGGCATTAGCATCGAATTCGGTGGGAGGTAACCAAAACGTACTTTTTCGCTTGGATGAGGGAGACGCGACGCACAATGGGCGGTGTTCAGCAANTATCGGGTCGCGAGATATCTCGTCAAAAGCGTTAATCGGCCAGTATTGGGTCGCGAGATATCTCGTCCAAGGTAACGAAAGGGTTAATACCACTTTAGGATGGCAAGTTCGGTGAACCGGACATGGACGTTTACGCCTTTCTTCTCGGCAAAAAATTCAATATTCCAGGCTAAAAATCGGTCCATGATTTCCTGAAAGCGACGGGGATAATGATGCTCGATGACATAGAATAATTCATTAGTACCGCCGAGTTGTTGACGTGTCCGTCGTTCGTTTTCTTAAATATATTTTTATTTGAGCACTAAACGGTAATGTCTACACTTTACAATGAGTATCTCTTTAACTCTATGGTAAATATATGGTCATTGAATAGTCACGTTTCATTAGCTCTTACATCACTTTGTTACTAATTCCGATAGTTCTAATTCTTGTGTAAATAATCTCGATTTCCGCAGGTGGATCTATTCTTATTAATATCGGTAAATCCAACTCGAAGAACCGATCTCGAAAGTGCCGAGTGCCTTACAGTTTAAGGCGTCTAACTTTCACGAGAGAGATTGCGCTTAATTTTTATTCAATTTATCTAATAAACAACTACGTTTTCCAGGTAACTGGTTTCCCCATTGAGTATTATCTCCTATTGTATGAATCCAAAGACTTTGTAAAAATGTTATAAGACGTAAAACTTTGTTCATGAAAAGTTTGAAACTTTATCCATAGCAGTAAATCGACTTACATTCGAAAGAACATAAAACACGGCTCCTCGACCAGTTTGTTAGTATCCTTTCGCTCTCCTTCCACTTTTCTAAAACCTGTCCTTGGCACTTTTTCTTAGTAAACTCTTAATGAATGTATATAAATAAATCATTATAAATCGAAGATACGCGAAATATTAAATATATATTATATAGTATATGTATATATTTTTATATCTATATATATACGTAATATGACTAGCACAGTTTGACATGTATCACATGCTATATTGACTATCGTGTTGCGGACTTGAACATTGTATTATTGCAAGTACTTTATTCAAAGTTCAGAGTGCCCTTCCTTAGAAATGCGATTCTAGGCGTTTCCGCCGTTCAAAATAAATTCTAATTACTTCTTAAAACACGTGAATAACTAAATTGTACTTGGAAAATAAGGTGGTACACCTCGTACGAGAATTCGGCTTTCCAAATGTTCTCATAAAAATAAGTCTCGTCAATGTTTTGACCATTACTTCAATTTAAAATTAATCTCTTTCCCGAGATCTATTGATTTTCTAATATAAATCATTCGCCCTTGTGTCCTGCTCTTAGAAGTAATGGACTTTCGTTTGTCTTATTGCTCTATTAATATTAATAATAGTCAACTGCGAATACTCTTGATACTTATCTAGTAATACTTTCGAGTCCTTGTGTTTTGACTCTTCGAGCCATTCAAAAAAAGTTACGAACTTTCTCCCAACAAGTTGAAAAAAGCTCAATGCTTAATCTTCTTAGAACCTACTACTTTCGTCATTGACAAATGTCAGTGAATTACGATCCGGCTAATCAGTGCTGAAATGACTTCCTTGCAATCTTTCTTATCAGTCTCTCGATTTCTTCGTCCCCTTCGCCTTCCTATTTAAGGTGAAGTGAAACACATCGAGGAACTTGATTGACGTCGGTAAAAAAGGTTTTTCTAAATATCTACGTTGCCGACGTTCGTTTTTATATCGACAGCTGTGTCGAATTATATTAAGTACTGAACTAAATGGAGTACTCCATCTGTCGTTTTCGTACAATAATTGTAAAGAAATCAAAGTAAAACTCCAGAAATCCCCTGGATTCATGATTTCTGAGGCCCTAATTGACAGCAGAGTGACCTCCTGCGTTATCTATGACTTCCATGTGAACTAAATTGTCACTCCGAGGCCTCATATTACCATTGTTTTGGTATAGAAACATATAAGACACTTTTTTATCATTATCCCGTTCAAATGCGAGTTTCTCGATTACCAATGTGCTCTAAATTGTCGTACAATTGTCCTGACCATTACATTTCTCATATTAGACCCTTCGATAATTGGATATCGAACGAAATATGAGAGCTCAACGCCATCTTGATTCTGATCTGGGCTAAGTTAAACAATTTTTTTTCAAAAATCAACATTTTGAAAGTGTCAGGATAATTCCTAGATACTCACGAGTCATGTGTCAAAGTTTCAGACGGTTCTATCCCATACCCTTAAAAAAAGTGTCTTATGGAATCGACTGATTTCAGGGGGGTTTCACTTCACCTTAAGAAATCTTGAAACTCTCGATGAGTCTTGAAAATTACATATTTACTTTTTTTAAATTAAATGTAGCAGTTATTTTGCTGGAAACGAATTTCTACCTTAGGTGGATTCTCCACCGGCAACAGCAACGTCGCCAGGAGCAACTCCAGGGGTGATAGGTTGAGGGTTTCCTCCAGTTGGAAGACCTTGCATTTCTTGAACTCCCTGGAACAGTTTTCCAGGAAATCCTTGAAGAAGATCATAGGATACAGGAGTTGGGGGCAATGCGGCTGTGTGGGCATGCGGCGATTGTAGAACAGCTATGACTCTTCTCAATTCCTCCAAAGCGTTTCCTAAAAATTAATTAGAATACATATTTTTCTTAAATAGAACAGAATATATTGCCGAAATCAGAAAATATGTTTCCTCAAATATTTTAATATAAAACATTTCTACATTTCTTCTACATAGGGGTATCCTAAAGTAAAATTTACGAGAATATAAAAAACGTTGCAGCGGAAACAAAGCATCTAATTTATGAAACCGTCATATCGGATTAAGGGGATATGAAAATGGCGTCGAAGAGGTTTTATTTATGAAACTTTCTTTCGGACTGGGGGTACCGAGTCGTTTCAAACTTTACAATGTAAATATGACGGCTATAAGGAAGGTCACTACACTTATGAAACTTCAATTCCTTAAAAATTTGTTCATAGGCATTTTCAAAATTTTTTCAAAAAAATGAAATTTCATCGATGTCAGGGCCTTCCTTATATCCATTCATATTGTAAAGTTTGAAATGATTCGATACACGCAGTACATGGAAAACTTTCATGAACGATTGACTTTTCGGATGCCACTTTCACATCCCCTTAGCGGTAAGACAAAGATAAATCATAAATGGCATAATTGTGTTGTATCTTTTTCTCGAAACAACATTTTTTAAAATGGTGTACATACTTTTTCAAGCTGTTATTATCCAACGGCAATAAATGATCTACAATGATCTACAATTATCACAGGTGTGATATTGGCTCGACATTGACGGACGCTTTTTTAAATACCATAATTATTTTATGCTTAAAAATGTGCTATAACTATCGATAGCATTTTTTATCCTTCCGTTTCAGTTACTGCTGGATAATACAATAGTGCACGCTAGCGGACAGTCAACAAAAAATGATGAGTACTGCGAATTTGCAACACGAAAGACACAATAAATACGTTTGCATTAAAAAGGTGGCAAACACCAAAGTAGTCGCATTTTTACTTTTCTGTAAATCTGTGAGTAATGAACGTATATTGTTTTTGATTGCTATAGTACCCACCAAACACGGTTACGTAACAATAATACAATCATTACATAACGTAACATACATATAATTTAGAAGTAAAATTTGTATTACTATTTTCTCCGCAGCTATATAATGCCGTTGTAAAACGAATAATATAACGTATACATAACATATCTGTAACATATATGTTATGTTAATATTATATAACTGCAATGCTTACAAGTTTGTAACGATGTTACCGAACGGCAATAATTCGACGTTATATGATATTAATGTATCTTGTGAATAACATTCGTCCAGTGTTATATAACCGTAACATGTGCTTGGTAGGTAGTTTATTTATCATGAAAGCGGAATTAGCGAAAATCAGGGCATCTTTCTTGGAGAAGAATATGACTGAAAACGTTAATATAATTCAATGAATATCACAGGTATATGATATTAATGTATCTTTTGAATAACATTCGTTACATATCATGTTATTCCAGTGGTATGTAATTGTAACATAGTATGCTTGATGGATAGTTTATTTAGATTAAAAGAGGAATTAGCGAAAATTGGGGCATCTTTCTTGGAGAAGAATATGACCGAAAATGTCCATATAATTAAGGTGAAGTGAAACACGTCGAGGAACTTGATCGACGTTGATAAAAAAGATTTTTCTAAATGCCTACGTTGCCGACGTTGGTTTTTATATTGACAGCTGTGTCCAATTATATTGGATATTGTACCAAATGGCATCCTCCACACTCGTTTTCGTACAATAAATATGAAGAAATCGCAGTAAAACTAGAAATCCTCTGGATTCATGTTTTCTGGGACCCTAATTGACTGCAAAGGGACTCCCTGCGCCATCTGTGATTTCCAGGTCAATTAAATTTTCACTCCGAGACCTCGTATTACCATCGTTTTGGCATAGAAGCGCATACAACACTTGTTTTGCCTTTGTCCCGTTGAAATGCGAGTTTATTGATTACCAGAGTGTTCTAAATTGTCGTAAAATTGTCCTGACCCTTTCGTTTCTCATATCAGAGCCTTCGATAATTGTATATTGATCGAAATATAAAAGCTCAACGCTATTTTGGATCTGATCTGGGCTAAGTTAAACAATTTTTTCCAAAAATCCAAATTTGGAATGTGTCAGGACAATTCTTAGATGATCAGGAGTGATGTGTCAAAGTTTCGGACAGTTTGGTCTAATGCCCTTAAGAAAAAAGTGTTGTATTCAAATCGACTGATTTGAAGGGGGTTTCACTTCACCTTAAATGTATATCCACGTCTGAAATAAGTAACAATGTTTGATCTACCTTGCATGAGAATGTAGTTTTTAGCCAATAAAAGTGTGGCGATTTTGGAGAGTTTCCTCACGGACGGACTGTGAGCATATGGGATGACAGAACGAAGCTCATCGAGGGCATCATTCAAGTCGTGCATTCTTCTGCGTTCTCTGGCATTAATGTTGAGCCTAACACTTTTACCTTGGCGAGTCGTCTTCGACTTTGGGGGACAATTTAATCTCGATGCTCCTGGTCTGCTGGGGAAGATAAGACAAAGTGAAGGAAATTCCATAGAAGGAGCTAAATGAATTGGAACTATTTGTAAAAAAAAAAGGGATAAACACATATGAGCCGCTCAGTGCACACATCGACTAACTCCACTTTTTGAAAAATCTTAAATTTAGGTGTCAAAGCACTTGGTATAGTCATAACTTATTATATTTATAATATCTTTCCTGATTAATAGAGATTAACACCATTAAACGGCACAATTTTTGGTCTTTTCAACATTACTCCCTGATTGTTTTTAAAGAACTAAATATTATACCGTTATAATCGAAATGAGTGAAACTAATAACAATGTGGATGTGGAAAACAGGGATGATTCTTCGATACGATTTATCAGCAGAAAGTCTGGGGCAAGAAGACGTTTATCGTGTTTCTCGGATTCATCCGATTGCAACGGTACAAATTCCCCAACAAACACATAGATTGGGAGGAAAAGAAGTCGTAATCCTGATAAATGGGCACGAAATTTACAAAAGCATAACGGAACAAAAGGTTTGGCATACAGGAATAGGGGAGGAAATTTAATACCTGCAAAAACATTTGTCGATATAAAATGCAGACGATTATTTTTTGGCTATTCTTTCTTATTAATTTTATATACCGTTAGATGAAAACTATAACTGTTTTTATGTATTCTATATTATATATTTGAAGTTATATTATAATAGGAATTTTAAAAAAGAATCTACGTTACTTCATCGCATTTCTCAACTTTTTGTTTTACGGAGTTAATCAATGTGTGCACTGAGCGGCTCATATATAGATAATACCTTTCGTGGTCGGGCCGATTTTCATCGGATAGAGAACTCGAGGAAGTATGAGGCTGAGGTTGTTGCTGAAAATAAAAACCGCCGAGGCCAACGGCACCGAGAGGTGTTCTTCTTCCTGGAGCACTCTGGGGATGCTCCGAGGAATAACCCGCAGGTGGTCCTGGAACTCCAGGATGAGATGCACCTGGTGCTGGATATCCCATTGATTCTAAAGGTGTCGAGGACTGGCCAGGCAACTGATGCTGCAACAAAATAATATTTTAACCAATATTAATGATTTTACAAGCGCAAATGTGCTCAATATTCAACTCGACCAGTGTTCTCTTTAAATGTTACGCTTATTTCTCTTAAAAAAATTCCTTGAATATATTTTAAAAAAATGTACAAATGTGAAGACAAATAGACTTTTGGCATAAAATATGCAAGTATAAGGTAATTAATAATTGGAATGTATTAACAAGCCCCGGGAAGCTTCCATTAGGGGCGAGGTTGAGCGTTAATCATTTTGCAATTCAAAGTGTGCTGAATATTCAACATAATTAATATTCTTTTTCAGTGTTACGCCCATCTCACTTCGAGTAGGAATAAATTTCTTTAATAATCGTTCAAAGAAGTTCTGGGTAAGAACAAAAACGTGCAGATTTTTAACCTGAAATATACGAGGGTGATTAATTAATAATTAAAATGTATCAACGCACAGCCCCTCGATGCTCCCATGCCCATGTTGGATGTGAAGCTGAGCGTTGCCAAGGCCCTTGTTGTAAATGAACTTCCGGAAGCCCTTCACGCCTCTCGTCTTCCTCTGCTGAGCTACTTTCGCCATCATAGGACCTCATTTTGAAAATCCTGGGAAATTGGTTTTTACCTCCTTCTTGGAATGCCTTAGAGTCTCTTTGTCAGTTCTATGAGTAAGAAAAGGATTCACTTGGACATTAGTTGTAGACCGATTCACGAATCCGTCATGGATTAGACCATTCAAAACATAGTTCTTAATAAAAAAAAAATATTAAAAGGCTGAGTTACTGTTTAAGGATTTCAGAACTCTCATATTGAATAAAAAAAATAAAATAAAAATATTACAGTTGAAATTAAGCTTTACAGGAGTTTCTATTGCAGTTTCATTGCATATTCGTTTTAATTTTTTTTATTCTATTACGTTCTCTTATCAGGAAGTTTGTTGACGAACAAAGATGTCAGTTAATTCCATTATCTCCGGAATAGTAGCGCTGACAACTGTACGCTATCGTATCACATATAGGATAAAAAGATGTACAATGCATCCTGCTACCCTCTGATAAGAAAACATCAAATGTAGTACATTGAAAAATATTAATCTAAAAAGGTATAACTACACGGTATTGTTCAGTACTGGTGCAATTGATATGATAAAAATAATGCAAAACGAGCTCGGCTAACTTTGGGCTTAATAAATAGTATCGATATATTTCAACAATTGGAATATTTATTTCATCACTTAGGTAATATTTTAATAAATTCAATGTTCAAATAATGATATCAAGTATTTAAATATTTAAATAATTTAACTTGTCAACGAGTAATTACAATAAGGGCCCCTAAAAGTTTCATTTTAATCCAGGAAGAATGAATGAGAGCACACGTCAATTGGCACTAGCACTCGACATACTGGGAGGGGGTGTGAATCATTTGCCCCATTCAATATCTCGCCCTTCATATATGCTCGAGAAAAAAATCAATACCCGGCGTGCAGCTTACCGATAATCCGCAAACCGCCACAGGACTTCAGGACATGTCCTCCGGCTTTCTTGGAGGAAAATTAGGATTTTTTCCGCGCGAGCGCAAAGAAAGCCATCTTTCTGTCAGGAGTCCCTTTATTCTTCCCGCGGCGATATTCCCGTGGTCAAAACTCTGCCACCTCTTCCGCAGTGAAATATCTCCCTCATAAATAGCCGTTTTTAGGAGATAAGATCACATGCGAACAAACGTTTGGCAAATCACAGAGATACGAATTACGATCCTCGAATCACAGCCATTTCGAAGGGGCGTCCTATGGGTCGTCGCCATTGAAGCGACGAAAATGCACCCCGTAACGCCTCCACTCTTCTTCTTGATTTGGAGCCTTGTAACCTTAACTGGTGTTCTTGATCTACCTTCGAAGGATGCAAAATAACACGCTGCACTATTTCTTCCGGTTAAACTCTTTAAAAGGACGTATCGCTGGGCGAAAGGGGTGCCGGGAAGGAGATGAGCGGTTTGTTGTCCGGATGATGGCGGCCCATGCTACCCCTGTTTTAGTTGCGGGCGCCTCCGCGAGATGGCGAACACAATATGGTGGATGCTGCATTTTGCCAGCAGATGGCGGGCTATGTCGAAAAAACCAGCATCCACGAAAAGCTGAGGGATGGAAGGCAGGGCAGGCGTCTACTTTTCCGACAGAGCACTATGCAATTTATTTAATATGGTAATGAAAACTATTAACAGTTTGAATACTCGTAATAAAGTTCTGTATTAAACATCTTTAGAGAGTTTAACGTGTGATATCGAAACGTATAACACGCTTTATAAGTATTCAGTTGAAATCAGAGCGAGGGTAGTTCGCCCCTGTTTGAGTTCAATTCTTCGTCGCAAGATGGCGGACACAATATGGTGGATGCTGCATTTTGCCAGTAGATGGCAGGCTATGTGAAAAAAACCAGCATCCACGAAAAGCTGAGGGATGGAAGGCAGGGCAGGTGTCTACTTTTCCGACAGAGCACTATGCAATTTATTTAATATGGTAATGAAAACTATTAACAGTTTGAATACTCGTAATAAAGTTCTGTATTAAACATCTTTAGAGAGTTTAACATGTGATATCGAAACGTATAACACTCTTTATAAGTATTCAGTTGAAATCAGAGCGAGGGTAGTTCGCCCCTGTTTGAGTTCAATCCTTCGTCACAAGATGGCGACTTCGGTGTATCGGATGCTACGCTGGACCGAAATGGGGTGTCCCTGGTAAAGCGGCGCAGAAGTAAAACATAGTTTTGCGCAACTGTTATCTTATTATTTAATTACACATATATTGTACGGTATTATTGTATGCTTCCCTGCATATAAAACAACTCACTTTTGAATTTCACGGATATTTTTCATATTAAACATGATAGGGTATCTTAGTATGATCAGCGTCATCGTGTCGTGGTTACAGACTTTGCCGCAAGATGGCAGCGCATGGGTGTCGAAGACATTATTTCACTAAAAGAAGAAGTATGCTAATAAGTTTAAATGCCTTCCGCTTTTACGAATATTTCTTCCCCCTTTAAATGTATTTCTTCAACCAGTTTTCATCTTTATGTATAAAGTGACAGGAAGAAGATCGAATTAATGGGCGGAGACCTTCCAAAACTGTGGGAAAATAGAGCAGAGGAGACATATGGCTCTTGCCGGGTGTAGAGGGATGAAACAAATGAGGGCGAAGGAAACTGTAAAGGGGAGGATTCCAGGTACCGTAACGAGCTAGAAATAATACTCGATCCCTTTTACTCTTCGCGTTGATGATGGAAACACCTTTTACAAAAGTAGTTGGCAGTAACTTACACCAGTTAATGCGACTTTAAACCGGTGCAATAACGACACATGTTACGAGCAATGACAGCAAACAATAATTATTGTAATGGAAAGGGACGTGAAGAGGAATACACGGAAAACAGCAATGGAACATATGTATGCGTCGTTTGAACGGTACATCGGAAAAGCAAATATTAGTTTATCTATTAATAATTTTGTGGATATTGGCAGATGGATATCCGTGGGCATCCGGAGGGAACCAATCAACTGTCCGGGAGATGTCCCAGGGATGTCCCGGCGCAGCTTGCGATTCCCACTGCGTCCGGAACACGATGTCTGACGTCCGATAACCAATAGGAGGGCTGTGTTTCTCATCGGGTGACATTCCGTCCGATCACGCGACAGGAAACGTGCTTTCCTATTGGTTATCGGACGTCGTATGTCGAATGCAGGGAAAATCCAAAGCCGACTCTTTCGAAGCTCCGGAGAATGGCGAAAGACGACGTGGATTGAGATCTGCGACATTTACCCGCTTTTAAGGCGATACGAAAGGGTCATTCTATAAATAAAAACCTGAAAATATTTATAATACTTTTCTTCAAACTGGGTGCACCGAATCATTTGAAACGTTAACAAGAGGTTAAGAGCGACATTTACTTGCTTTTAAGGTGATACGAAAGTCTCGTTGTATAAATAAAATCCTGAAAATATTTATAATACTTTTCTTCAAACTGAGTGCACCGAATCATTTGAAACGTTAACGCATGATTACAAACGACGTTTACCTGCTTTTAAGGTGATACGAAAGGCTCGTTCTATAAATAAAAACCTGAAAATATTTATAAAACTTTTCTTCAAACTGGGTGCACCGAATCATTTGAAACGTTAACAAGAGGTTAAGAGCGACATTTACCTGCTTTTAAGGTGATACGAAAGGGTAATTCTATAAATAAAAACGTGAAAATATTTATAGAACCTTTCCCCAAACTGGGTGTAGCGAATCATTTGAAACGTTAACGCATGATTACCAACGACATTTACCTGCTTTTAAGGTGATACAAAAGGGTCATTCCATAAATAAAAACCTGAAAATATTTATAAAACTTTTCTTCACACTGGGTGCACCGAATCATTTGAAATGATAACAAGTGGTTACGAGCGATATTTATCTGCTTTTAAGGTCATATGAAACGGTCGTTCTATAAATAAAAACCTGAAAATATTTATAAAACTTTTCTTCAAACTGGGTGCACCGAATGATTTGAAACGTTAATACAAGGTTATGGAGGCCTTAAGGAAAAAAATCCGGTGAAATTTTATTTTTCAAAAAATTTGTTATTTATTTTGCCTAGACTATAACCAAAATTACATTTTCTTAGTGAAAAATTAAATTTCACCAGTATCGCGTTCTTCCTTAGGGCCTCCATAATTAACGCATTAAAGTTTCAAATTATTCGGTGCACCCAGTTTGGAAAAAAGTTTTATAAATATTTCGACGTTTTATATACATAGAATGATCCTTTCATATCAGCTTAAAAAGCAAGACGAGTGAAATAAATCCAAAAAGACAAAACAAGATTTAAAAGGTAACGAGCGCAATCAAGAGATGGGGAAAAAGGTACCACGGTCGATAAGGGATGCGAATGAAAATGATAACTCCTTTTCGATCGATGACTACCTTGGAACGTTATTTCTCTAACTCTAGAGTCCTCGATATATTACCGATTAATGGTGGTGGGGAAAAATAAAAATAAGAAAGCTTTCCAGAGGCAGAATGAAAATGCCCAACCCCAGGAAACTTTTAAACAGTTCCAGTTGCCTGTAAACATTTCTCTGATAAAATAGAGGTCCCACCACGAGTGCGGTTACCCTTGCGCAGAGTCAATATTTGAAACGGCACGAAAGAAAGTATATAAAAGCAGACTGTGTACAAGGCCGAAATAGGAAATCGGTTTCGCCCAACTAAATACTTCTCTCTCGAGGCGAACGCTCAGTTTCCGATTTTCTTCGCGAAATATCGACGTCCCCGATTAAGACCACCGAGGCTAACAAGGAAGGGATCCCAGGTCAATCTCTCCGATTTGATTTTTTTATATGTTATAGCAGACCAAAAACTAAGCGACACGTATATTTTTTTTATCTGCCATTACACACTTTAAGGGGGTGAAACCCCCATCCAAAGTAAGGCATGTCAAGGGGCGATTTGGCAGTTTCACCCACAAGAACATAATATTTTTTATCCAATCCACCTGGAAAAGCTTTCTCATAACGAGAAATGAAAAATATAATTTTCTGAATTAAAAAAAAATAATTAAGGAGTGACCCACCTTCACAGGGCTTACTTTGGATGGTGGTTTCACCCCCTTAAGGTGAAGTGAAACACGTCGAGGAACTTGATCAATGTTGATAAAGAAGATTTTTCTAAATGCCAACGTTGCAGACGTTCGTTTTTATATTGACAGCTGTGTCGAATTATATTGGATATTGTACCAAATGGCATACTCCACCTGTCGTTTTCGTACAATAATTATAAATAAATCGAAGTAAAACTCCAGAAATCCGCTGGATTCATACTTTGTGGGGCCCTAATTAACTGCAGAGGGACCCCCTGCGCCATCTGTGATTTCCAGGTCAATTAAATGTTCACTCCGAGACCTCGTATTCCCATCGTTTTAGCATAGAAGCGCATACAACACTTTTTTTGCCTTTATCCCGTTGAAATGCGAGTTTATCGACTACCAGAGTGTTCTAAATTGTCGTGAAATTGTCCTGACCCTTTGGATTCTCATATCAGAGCCTTCGATAATTGTATATTGATCGAAATATGAGAGCTCGACGCCATTTTGGTTCTGATCTGGGCTGAGTTAAAAAATTTGTTAAAAAAATCCAAATTTGGAATGTGTCAGGACGATTCTTAGATGATCAGGAGTGGCGTGTCAAAGTTTCGGACAGTTAGGTCTAATACCCTTAAAAAGAAGTGTTGTATTCGAATCGACTGATTTGAAGGGGGATTCACTTCACCTTAAAGTGTATAATGGCAGATAAAAAACAATACGTGTCGTTTATTTCTCAGTCTACTATAACATATTATAAAAGAAATGAAATCAGAGAGATCGACCTGGGATACCTTCCTTGTAATTAACGAAGGAAACAAAAACGCTCGGAGGAAGGTTAACCCGTTCTTTTCCTCCGCTTCCGGAGTGACCTTTTCGCCTTGGTGAAATATTTTCATTATTCTATATTTATCCCCGAAGGGGCA